ACCGCCCCTTTTCGGGGTTTTTTGTGTGGTTTTTTTCCCCCCCCCTCCCTCCACAGGTCACTTAATGAACCTTAAGGGAAGAAACGAGCGTGGCCCTGCTGTTTGTTTTTCTCCTCCTCGTCAAAGTTCAGATGAAGGTTTGAAGGCCAGGAAGCGTCTCTTGGGGCACAGGCGGCGCGGTGGAGGTTTCGCCTTGGCTCTGTTCCTGAGGTACTGCAAATCATTGAGCACAGCCCTAAGAACCGTCCTTGGAAAGACCGAGCGAAGAGGCTGCGAACAAGTACTCTTAGACGCGGAGCTGCACGTCAAGCTGTGAAGCTGAACTAGGATTTGAGGATCCAGCCTTTCGTACCGCCATCTGAATCATACAGTTACGCGATGGAAAAGCTTTTCTGGGACCTTGAAAAAGATCGCTGCGCTAGGAGTACTAAAACACTTAGCTATCTCCTCAAATCATTGCCGCGTTAAGCTGCTGTAGTAGGAGTTACGATCTGCTTTGCTGCTTCAAGACAAAAACACACAGTTTGTTGAAACTGGTCAACGTGCGCTAGCGGAGCAGTAATTTATACCATTAAACGTATTCCTCCAAAAGAGATCCTCCAGAAACAATGTAGCTCTATATTCATGTCAAAACTAAAACTAATGCACTCTCAGTTCTAAACAGTTTGAAAGAAATGAAAATATTTTCCCTGCTTAGACATAACTTACTGAAAAGGTCATCTTTTACAACTAGTCATTTTTTTTAAAACTTCTTTCGATCCTTTGATGCCAATTAATTGATGTGAGACGACATTGTTCAGATCCCGTTCCGTACGCGCGTGATCGACATTGCACAGGTAGGTTTGTCTGCACTAAAAGGCACCTATAAAGTGGTGCAGGAAGAGAGCGGAAAGATCAAAGCCATTGCCACTGTCCAGGGAGCTGCCCCATGAAAACGAACAAGGAAGTAGGCTCTGCATCACCCTCTATGGAAAGCGAAATCCCCCAAACAAACCTCAATGGGAAGAACCAAACTGACATAGGAAATACTGCTTCTTGACTGCAAATGTCATGACTGATTAGAAGTCATGACTGATTTTGGTTAATATGGAATACAGAAGGTGAACACTAACAATCCAATCTCCTTATTTTCAGTTTATGTCGCTTTCAAAGCAAAAGGCTTTACATGCTTATGTCTTGCACTCTATACAGTCTTCTTTCTAATGCACTTCCATTATATTACTAAATTGCTGTCTAACCAAAAGCACTGCTTAAAAATAGTGAAAAAGTATGGTGATCTGCAGGCACAACTGGTTGAACTGTTGACTTGATGCTATTGCACAGATAAATTACTGAGAAGTGGTTTATTTGT